TCACGTCAAAACAATGTTGACGTTTATCCTACTGACGGTGACATCGCTATCTAACAAAGAACTTTTCCAACAATCTGAGTTGACTTTAAGTCTTTTTTTTGCTCAGCGTAACATTAGTGTTTATGTTGTCAATGACTTGCTCCTTTTAATTAAAAAACTATCTTGAAATCCGGAGACTACGCAATCAATGACCATCGAAAGTACAAAATGCTCGGGATTTATGGTCAATGTTTTAGTTCGTGAAATTGAAATGAACGTCGTCGAAAAATTTCAAAAAGTTTCTTTTTCTTTGTTAATAGATGAAAGCACAGATCGTAGTAATAAAAAACTTTTGTGCGTTGCCGTGCAATATTTTGATTTTGGAAATCATAAAATTATTAGACATTATTTAACTTTCGTTGAATTAGACGTGGCTTTGGCTTCTGCTAAAAAAATATTTGAGTCGTTTAAAATTAAATGTGAAAAATTTGGCACCATGAGTAATGTTGTCAGTTTAGCTAGTAACAATGCTAACGTGATAATAGGACGTTTAAATTTTTTGCAAGTAATTTACGAAAAGTTTTCTCTAATTTTATTTTAATAAATTACATTTGCTATACATGTGCTCTCGTCGCGAAGCATAGTTTTACATTTATTCCATCAGAAGTAGAATCTTTTGTACAAAGAATAGCATTTTATTTGTCAAAAAGCCCCAAACGAAGCACAATTTTTAAAGAATTACAGGGAGATACTGGTGTCAAATGAGACACTGAAATTACGCAGAACTAGATAGCTTGAAATGTTCGAGGGTACGAAACGAATTTTAGAAAATTGGAATGAATAGAAAATAATACTATCGTATAGTATAGCTCTTCCTTTCAAATTTCCGTGTCCAACACGAGATATGATTATTAATCTCTGAGTTATGAAAGTTTTAATGCAAGTCCCTTTTCATGTACTGACCTGTCAACTGGATAAAAAGTGTGTCCTAAATTTTATAAGTCTAAATAAATCTTTTATGGGTGCCAACTTGAAGCTTAGTTAATACGATTCTTTCAATATCGGACTTCTTTCTTAAATTCAGAATGGCGGACTTATTTAGTAGCTGCAGATAGTTGAAATCACTCTAATTTAGCTGTTCTACTTGATTTTAAATAATTTTAAAAATAGTTTGGCATATTCTCTGATGGTTTAGGATCTCGAAAAATTAAAAAAAATTTGTTATTTGTATCGATACGAGATTTTTAGGACAGCTACTTGTTCTACTTAAGGTAATGAATGAAAACTTAATGTAGTAGCACTCACCTGGGTTATAAACATATGCCAATTTTGGAATTCTGTATCTGTCATGATTTTATTAGCGTGGTGGCTTATTTTACAGAACAATACATGAAAAGGTATTTGCATTGAAACTTTTATATATCAGAGATAAATAATCGGATCCAGAACTTTAAAGACGGAAATTGTAGAAAGAGAGCTATACTATACAAAAAGATTGTACGAGAGACACAACAAAAATTCGAGATACGGCATAACCTCAAAAATAAGTCAAAATGGCTATTTTTAAATATTGAGATTAGAATAACTCAAAATCCTGACGTGATAGGCGAATTCTAATGACAGATTCGGTTTCAGTGCTAATTGCTTTGGAGACAGCTATTTACGTATAATCATCAAAATCTTACAGGTCTGTGGAATCGATAGTCATCCTGTTTAGTCTACCTAAAGCAAACGCCGTAGCTTACTCGTACCTGTAATGTACAAGAAATTATATTTAAGCTGCAAGAAGTGGGCGGAGCTTAGGTTAAAGTATAGGTAGAAAGAGCCGCTCGGGCTTTTTGAGAGTAGGAGATAGTGACTGCGTACTGCGCATGCCACGAATTCCCGAAAATCTGGGAGCCTTGAGTCCAGATCAACCACAAATCTTGTGCAATTATTTTCAAAGAAGCTAACGCACTTGTCTACCGTAGATTATCTACAACTTTTCAAGTTTGCTATGAGATTCTAAAGCACGAGTCTGTTGCTAGTCTCTTGCAAATCAGTCATAAGATAATTTACACTTGAAACATACAACCATTTTACTTTTTCAAATAAGTATTATACAATTCTTGTAAAAAAAGCTGACACATTCGTCTAATCTAGCAATTATAAATATGTAGAAGCAGTTCTAACTCTGTGCTATGTAAGACAAGTACAACAAACAACCCACCCGAAAAAAAATGTCGGAGTTCTATGATGAATTACTTCTATAATATCTTCAGGAAAGCCACGTGGTTTTACATATGATTTTATACATATCATTACACAACAGGTTTTAGCTTGGTAATGCAAAATGTAATTCGATATGGAAAAACACGTGGAATTACTAATTCAAAACAGAAAAAAAAATTTGTCATTTGGAAATAACTGTAAAATAACGTAATCAGTTTCTTGCGATTAACAATACGTATTACCATCTGGATGAGAACTCCAAAAGAAGGGGACTCAGCTGATTTTGCTTCTATATAAAAAAATGTAATCCTCCCATTTTTTATTTAATCCTAAAATATTACTCGAATCCCCTTGTTTTGGAGTTATCATCCAGGTGGTAACAGAATTGGTCACAAAAACAGACGCATTACGATATTTTGCAGTTATTTCTAAATGACAAAATTTTTTTCTTTTTCTAATTTGTAATTCCATGTGTTTTTCCATACGGAATTACATATGGCATCACCAAGCTAAGACTCCATATGTAATGACATACGTCAAACCGTATGTAATACCACACGGCTTTCCTGAAGGTGTTACAGAAGTAATACCACATAGATTTCCGTCACCTTTTTCAAGTGCGAATACTGCCAGGGCAATTCCTATTTACGACCATCAGATGAGATCTCACCCACGATCTCAGGTAACTATAAAAACTAAAAATTATCTCTAGCTAACTAACGAACTATAAAAAGTAAAAACTATCTCATGTCAAAAACTTACCTGAGATTTCAGATAGATTTCTTAAGAAGTATTTTTAATCTAAAAAATTACCATTTTCATGGTACATCGAACATCACATTTTTAAGAGTGTTTCGTATTTTTTTTTTTTTTAATGAAAAAAATTTTTCCAGACTCTTAGATAAAATCTCAAGCAAAATCTCTTTCTTTCTTTCTTTGTCTTTTGTTGGCCCTGTGCCTTTTATTGTGACAAAGATGTGTCATATTAAATCTGTTTTCATGAGTATTTTAAATATGTATACTCAAGAACAAATGATTGGAAGCACTGTTGAGTCTTCTACTGCTCCAAGAGCATAATACACATTACACCTCAGATCCAGGCACTGTTTCCTTTACTCTCAGATAGCATATAAGAATTACACCATACTGACTGCTATAGAAAATTGGCCTCCACGATCGTTTGAATTTAAAATAATTATCAAGAATCTATTGCACGTGATGCATTCTGCAAAAAACACCATTACAAATTTTTGTGTGTGCTACTATTTGAAAGTTATAAATAAAAATAACTTGGGGCGGTCCCCAAAATTCAATGATTCTTTTTTTTTTATCAATTTCTCAAGTCGATGATTAAAGGATTGTGCACCCTCAAATGAATTAACCGTATTAAAGCCAGGTGAGGCCAAAAATTTTAATTACATTATAAATTAAAACCTGCTTGCTGCCACTGTGTATGCGCAAATCTAGAATCTATCCGTTCTATTTGTTTTATATATTTCTAGTTCTCTTTTATTATATATAGGTATAATGTATATTTCTATCGGTTCCATGTTTGCGTTCATGCAGCTTCTACTGGCAATGGCATTATTGGCCCTTTACAAAACCCGTGGTGACACCCATAAAATGCGACACTTGCCGTATTAAATTGGAAAGCTTCAAAGTAATTAATGGTAACAGAAAAATAAAAAGCATTCGCTAGACAACTTTTTTAAATAATGTACATAAATAAATTCTAAATAGTAAAATACGATAAAGTTACGAGTTTTGGACACTGCCGGTAATGTATAAAGATAGTTATACTCGGCCATACTATCTTTGCACTATAAACCATCACTCACGCTCATGTCGTTTCACCTAGCTCCTCTTTTCAGCTACTTTAGGCTTATAGAATTGTTTGAGGCTTTAACTCAGTTAACGTCTACGTTAAAGTTTAACGTCTGATGAAGTATACCTAGACCGACTCTACTCCAAGCTGAAGCCTCAAACAAATCTATAAGTTAGTTTCCCTAAATTAGTTGTTCCTCTTAAGACTCTGATGGAAGTGCAGTCCTATGTTTATTTAAGCTAATTCTCGGGGAGACTCAGAGAGATCGCAAATCTTCGGAAATTTATCATTTCCAGGATTTTATAATTTTTTTCTCATTTATACAATATAGTTCTATTATGCATAAAAAATTAATGTAACTACTAATATAAAATATATTTAAACGCTTGTATAAAAAAAATTCATGGATAAAAGCTTAATTAATTTGTAAATAAAACTTCATACCACCACTTTACAGGGCCATTCTACAATCGCACTTTCCTTTTAATATGCAGGGGCAGCCGGGCAGCGTATTTATAAAACAGGCCCTGTAATGACTTAGGCACAGAATTGTATATCTTAATACACTGGAAAAAATGGGAAGTGCAAAAAAGGAGGTGCTGTTAGCCTGATGTTTTCATAAAGGTATAGTACAAATGTCAAACAAACTTTAATTTAAATATTTTACCCATTTTTTACTTATAAAAACAATTAGAATAAGTGTTATCAACTACTAAAAAAAAAAAAATTTCAGGAACCCATCTATTCGAAAAACTTTGTGTTCTGTAAAATGAAACCATAAACTTTAATCTCTAACAAATGTTTATTAATCAACAATCTACGGTAGTTTATTTCAGCTATTTTCTAGACGTATTTAAAAAATGGTAAGAAAGACTTGTTTTTATATTTGAGTATGCAGAAACTGGGTCCTTTACTCTCATGAAAAATATTTGACCCAAAAGATAAAAGAAATAATAGTCTCCTCTTAAAATAAAATTTTTCTTACCATAAAAGTAACCATGACTAGGAAACAAATGCCAACGACAACGGCGAACGGTAACAGCAGATGAGTATTGATATTGACTGGCAAATCGTTAATTATAACAAAGTAATCGTCTTGATACGAATAAACATTTTTAAGTACTGAACCAGTAAACTCACTTACAAAAACTGATGGAATTGTTATATTAGTTGAATATTTCGCAGACATTGGTTCTGAAAATATTTTTTTCAAATGTACCACTGGAGTTATGTGATTTAAAAAATCAAGTTTAATTGAAAATTGAGTAGGTATTGGTATTACCTAGGTCATTGCTATTAACATTATGAACAATTGCAGAAGTATAACCAGCCTTTTGTGCATTTCTTATTTTCTGTTCAAAACTGCAATTCAAACGAGCAATTAAAACTATCCAATCGTATCCATCATAGTCTGGATTATTTGGTGGACCTTTTATGACCTGACATGCTGTAGAGGGTTCCGCATACACGATTAGACCCTGAAAAACAATTTTAATGAGTTTTTGAAGATTTTTATAGGAACATGTAAGCCGACCAAAATAGCATACGCGAATACCCCACTTGGGATCGGGGACTCGGCCTTTATTTTCTGTACATAATTTGTAAGAACTTTCTGTTTTCGCGAAATTAGGAAAACTATATCATGTACGAAACATTAAAATTTGGTGTCTGCTATAATCGTGTACCACATTTTATGATTATAGTTATAGGGAGAGGGGTTAGTGCACGCTAATGTTTAGGCGTACGAGAAAAAGTATACGCTAGGGATTGTGCGTACGTGAAAAACAGCAGCCTCCTTAAGTGTTCACGTATGCGAAAATACTTTATATATACGCTTCGATTGTACTTGAGGATACCCATACATCACAAAATCCTATTTATATAACAATAATATTTATAAGAAGTGAAAAAAAGTAGAAAGAGAATAATACTGATAATCCCTCAGGGTATGCAAGACCTTCACGAAGATGACACGGTCGTAGCATGCATCACGTAAGGAGGCTCTAAACCAAAACGTATACCACCCCATTGTGTATAAGAGTAACCAAAGGTCACAACAATCCTTTCAGATCATTCACTACACTCACACCACACTGATATGGATTTACTCACAGAATATCCTCTAGGGCAGGCTGCGTGCATCATCCCTTCGCAGCGCGGGGGTTCTGGCAGACCGGTCAAGCCAGACGATGAAACCTGAGTCATTCCAGGTAACCGCATCTGATAGGGTTGTACATCTTGCTTATGAAGACGTGGTAGGTTCAGTAAAACCAGTTCACATTGTAATACCGTTTCTGCATCTACAAGTGAAAAAGGGCGCCGACGCAGAATTGACAATTCTCGCTCTTGTACGTCTACTTTGTTCCTCGTACATTTTGAGTTTCTTCTGCTGAAGAAGGGAGATTCACGCAGGAGTTCTCTCGTTCTACGGAGAGAACTATGAATTTAACACCAGCAAATAACTTCAATTATTCATTTATTTCATCACTTTAAACTTATATACAGTATCTCTCCTAAGCTGTACAAGATACACTTCACTTCTTATTTTATACGTCGCTTATACTACACTGCAGCGACTCCGAACGAGCCGTGACGGAACGTCCACCACGTCCCGCTCGTCCTGGATCAGAAGGGTTTTCTGCTTGTCCTAATCCTACGATAAGATACACATACTTATACTCTGTCCACAATCCCACGCTACTATACACTACTGACTATCTCTCTCTCTCTCTCTCTCTCTCTCTCTCTCTCTCTCCCTCTCTCTCACTTTGTCGACTCTTTCATGCTCACTCTTGCTCTCTGTACTCAAGATTTCTCTCTCTCTCTGCTCTACTCAAAAAAGCTACTCTCTCCCTTTCACTATGTGTCTCGTCCTCGACTTGACTCTCGTCATCCTAATCCATCAATCTCTTTCTTTTTTTCTCTTCTATCTACCCTCACATACAAGGCGAAACGCATAAATAATGGCAGCACTCCCAAGCATGTACTTCGCGGTCTCTTGTACACCTCGTCTCGTCTACGCACACACTACCTCTCACTCTCTCTCTCGCTCTCACTATCTACCATACTATATATATATAGCCTCACCTCCTGGTCAAACGTCCACGAGTCCAACCCAGAGCAAGGTCATTCATGAGCTCTCGCTTGGGCCATGGCCGCCACCGCTGCTGCTGCCACGTATCTCCCCTTGCAGTCCTTCTCGACATGGAAGCTGATACAGTGTCAATAAGGCTAAAACAAATTTGAGCACGGAAAATACTTAATTTTTACATAAAGTAGCTTCGAAATGTATGTTAATACAGTACGTTTTGCTGATTTATTTTTTTTTTACAATACTTTCATGAGTAAAGGTATCTATTTAATAACTGGATGTGCAGGTTTCTTCACTTACTGGGACGCTGTCTAGATGGTACGCTCCAGAAAGTTAAACGTATCTTCACGTTTAGACACTTAACTGGGTGTCCAATTGTCTACTTAATGGAGACGCTGTGTAAGTAGTGCGCTTCAGAAAGTTAAATATATTTAAACTTAGTTCAATAAAATCTTACATCATGCATAGCCAACAAGTTCCTATGCAATTTATTGTTCGTTTTAAATAATAAAGTAAAGAAAGTAGATATTTTAAGCTGATAAGTTCTTCTAAAATTTATTTTTCATATTGAAGACTATATTGCACTGCTGTAATAATATGTGATCTGCTCTAAAAAAAATTTCATAACAATAACATTTTAGAAGTAAATGTTGTATTTATAATATGGTTTGCTCATACGATCGAAAAATATAAATTCTACATTTGGAAGCTTTTTTCTTTAACAACTGCTACAACTAGAACCATTTTCAAATATTGTAGGTGTAGGAGCAGCATATTATGTTAAAGCTACATATACGTACATAACTTAAATGAACTAGTACCCACAGGATTTATAAAATTGCTACGAGAATCGTTACATAAAAATCCAACAAAATTGTTTACGAAAAAAAATTTTATGCTCACTCTTTAATCAGGGGAGACGGTTTAATCCACATAGACTTTTCTGGTAAATGATTGTTTATCGATTTTTGAACCCATATTTTTCAATTCAGCCACATAAAATCCTTGCAATCGTGAGCACTGTCAGCTTTTTCAGCCAAAATATCGAGATAGATCTGAAATAAATTTGCAACATAAGATTACAGTAAGCTGTTGAGCAGACAAAGGAGGACTTGCATTGTTTTGACAAAACTTCAACTGCTAATCAAAGATGTGGCAGAAGCAACAACAATAACAAATACAAAAACAGCAATGCTGCTTAAAGAGGGTATTAAAGTGGCACTGAATCAACATTTTAAGCTCAAGGATAATTGCTAACCGACAAAAAAGAAGATAAATTACCTTCTGGAACAAGCTGATGATAAATAATCGTAGGAAAAAGACGTACAGACCAAAGGAGACCATGGATTCACCAACTTAGAAAATTTTAGTTAAGTTCACGGAAAGGCAAAGTTTTGCTGAAATCCTCAAAAAGATTAGGTTAAATTTCAAGCCAAAAAGGGCTAAAATCAGTCAAAGGGGTCACTATGACCAAGAAGGGACATCTTTTTTTTAAGGTCAGAGGATTAAGGATGGAGAGGCCCTGGTCAGCAGCCTAGTGAAGGCCGTAGAAGAGCTAAGATTACTTTTAAACATTTATAGCAGTCTTTAGTTACGTATACTTCCAAGACTTTAATTTTATAGTTTTGTCTAAAAAAATATCAAAAAGTTTTTTATTTATAAATGCCTTGCACGTTTTTTTTGTGGAAAAGGATCCTTCCAAAATATTTGCAACGATATATTATCCAAAGCTGATTTACTAGTGAGTAACGGGTACTCAAAACTCTTCTACATTGGATATTACGCCTGCTAAAAATTTCTTTGTTTCACTTTCATCTAGAAAACTCATCGTGAATTACAATTAATGTAGTAGTTGACCCAAAGTCACGCATACGCAATAGACCTCACAATGACAGAAAAATCTTCCACGTGTGTACGTATTTATTTTTTGTTCTGCTTCTGTATACATATATCAGCTATACATATATCTGTATTTGTATTGTATACTGCTTCTGTATACATATATCTGCTGAGCTGTCTGCATTAAATGAAAATTTCAACGTTTTAATCAAGATTTTTAAAAAACCATACTGCTGAGAATATACATTTTTAAGTATTGGATGCATTATATTGTTTTGCGTTCGTCTAAACAATCAATGTTTACGTTGCTCTTTAAATGAACTTATCTATGACAGGCATGCTAAAACTATGAACTTTGAAAGGCAATATTTTCTCTTTGGCATCGCTGGGCTTTTTGAAAATTTTGACAGTCGAAAAAATATAGCCAAAGTTTAAAATTTCAAGAAATTTTTCATTTCATCAACTACTGCCTTAAATATTGTACATAATATTGATTTTTATTCTTGAAAGAAAATTGATTTATTTTATCAGAAAAATAACTATTATTTACAAATTAAAAAGTACGATCAAATCAACTACAAAAATAAATGAGCAACAAATGTCTGTTCTCAAAATATGTACTTTAAAAGAAATAGTTCGAATCATAAAATTAAAATTCAATTAATGTAGCCAAATAGCATTTAATTAATTTTAAAGACTCTTACCTTGTAAAACTGCTTAATTTTCGGTGTTGGCATGCTCATATGTTTCATAAGACATCGAAAGTCATGCAGATTTTATCACAGCTTATCGTGATAAGTTAGCACCATTTTGGGTTTATCACCATTATCAGATACAACTTCGTATAGTGTTTAAAACAAATGAAAGAAAAAACAGATAATAAAGCTTATCAGACGATTTCAGAAAATGACAATACCAATCCACCGGGAGTAAATAAAAATAATACTATTCTATTTCATGAAATTACTGAGCTACTGCCTACAGTGTTACTGCCTTAAAAATTATAATGCTAGAGCTTCAAAAGAAGAAGCCCACGATGCTCTATAGATGTACTAAATGCACAGCTAGTAGAGGTGAAAATCCAAGCCTTCTAGATTCTGTCAAGTCGCTTCAGAAGGTGGTTGAAGGAGCCAGTGAAGTAGTTAAGTTCATGAGAAAGGTACAAGCTGATGTTATTGATATGAAAAAGGATATAAGCAAAAATCAAGTGTAGACACACATTCTCGATACTTCAAAGAATGAATTACGTCCACAATTAGCAAAATTGATTGAGGATTCCAAAATAAAAGTGAAAAATCAGATGTTGGATTGATAAGGTGTAATCTGATTTTTCCCTTTTCTTCTTCATACTTCTATGAATCTCGCCGAAACCAAGCAATATTTTTTCCTTGTAGATTCATGAATGTGCATCTACCGTTTTTATGACATCTAAATATTTTACATTAATTGATTATTGTAAACTGAATAAAATATCTGTTGATCAATGGAGTAGACAGCTCATTTATGCAAAGTTATATCTCATGCCTTATGCTGTTACGTATTGTTATT